GAATTTGGGAATTCAGGGCTGCAGGGGACACAAACACCCACCCGCCCCCCTCCTGGCCCCGCAGTCTCGCTCTCTGAGCCCCTCGCCCTCCTGGAGCTGCGGCCCCTCTCACTCAGCCCCCGCCAGCCTGGGCGAGCGCGGCTTCTTCAGCGCGGCCCCGCCAGCGCTCGGTGCGTGCCGGGGGACGGGAAATTTGGGGTGAGGGGTGGCACGGGGCGGGGGGGGGGGGTCCCAGCCATGCCCTGACCCCCGTGCACCCCCTCCCCAGGGCTATCGCGCGGTCCCAGCCCGGTGGTGCTGGGCTCGCAGGACGCGCTGCCGGTGGCCACCGCCTTCACCGAGTACGTGCACGCTTATTTCAAGGGGCGCGACGCCGACAGGTAATGGGGGAGGGGGGGTCCCGGAGATTTTGGGGGTCCCGGGGGGTCACCGTGTCCTCCTTGCGGTGTCCCCTGACCCCCAGCGTGTCCCCTGAGCCCCGGCGTGTCCCCAGCAGCTGCCTGGTGAAGGTGACAGGGGAGCTGACCATGTCGTTCCCCGCGGGAATCGTGCGCGTTTTTGGGGGTCCCGCCGCGCCCCCCGTGCTCAGTTTCCGCCTCCTCAAGGCCGGAGCCATCGAGCAGTTCCTGCCCAACGCTGAGCTGCTCTACAGGTGAGGGGACAGGTGGGGAGGGGGGGGGTTTGGGGCGCAGGGGGTGTCTGGGGAGCTTGGGAGGTGATGGATGCAGTGATGGGAGCGGGTTTTGGGGTGTCTGGGGGGCTCAAGGGACTTTGGGAGGTGATGGTTTTGGGGTACAGGGAGCGTGGGAGGTGATGAGTGCAGTGATGGGGATGGGTTTTGGGGTACAGGGGGTGTTTGGGGGGCACACGGACTTTGGGAGGTGTGGGTGCAGTGATGGTGTTGGGTTTTGGGGTGTCTGGGGGGGACACAGTGACCTCGGGAGGTGATGGGGCGGGTTTTGGGGTACAGGAGGGCACAGGGAAGTGTGGGTGCAGCGATGGGGAGCTGAGTTTGGGGGCTCCAGGGATCTGAGTGTCCTGGGAGTGCAGCAATGGGGAGCTGAGTTTGGGGATTTTGGGGTTCCTGGGGATCTGGGCACCCAAGGATGGGGAGCTGACTTTTGGGATTTTGGGATTCCTGGGGATACAATGATGAGGAGCTGACTTTTGGGATTTTGGGATTCTCGGGGATACAATGATGAGGAGCTGAATTTTGGGATTTTGGGATTCCTGGGGGTACAATGATGAGGAGCTGAATTTTGGGATTTTGGGATTCCTGGGGATACAATGATGAGGAGCTGAATTTTGGGACTCCCACGTACCCGGGCACCCAGTGGAGCTGGTTCAGAGCTGGGTCCCGGGGGGTTCCACATTTTTGGGGGATACCCAAACCCCGCTTCCCCCTTTCCCCCACACCCCCAGCGACCCCTCCCAGAGCGACCCCAGCACCAAGGACTTCTGGCTGAACATGGCAGCCCTGACGGGACACCTGCAGAAACAGGCGGAGCAGAGCCCGGCCGCCTCCTACTACAACGTGGCTCTGCTCAAATACCAGGTGAGCTCACCTGGGCACCCTCACCTGGGCACCCGAGGGTCTCTGCGCACCCCTTAAAACCCCTCAATCCCTTTGGCTGTGGCGCAGTTCTCGCGGCTGGGAGCCGGCTCGGCTCCTCTGCGGCTCTGTGTGCGCTGGGATTGCTCGCCCGGGGCTACCAGGGTGAGTGTGGAGTACGGCTACAACGGAGGAGCCCTGGCACTGCCCGTGCCGCTCGCCAACGTGCACGTCCTGCTGCCCGTGGAGGAGCCCCTGACCAACCTGAGGCTGCAGCCCGCGGGCAGCTGGTAATGGGGACGGGGAGAGAGGGACTGGTTTGGGGTGGGGGAAATGGGGTTGGAGTGGTTTGAGGTGGGGGAGATGGGATTGGAGTGGTTTGGGGTGGGAGAAATGGGATTGGAGTGGTTTGGGGTGGGAGAAATGGGATGGACTGGTTTGGGGTGGGACAGAGATATTAGAATGGTTTGGGATGGGGGAAATGGGGTTGGAGTGGTTTGGGGTGGGAGAAATGGGATTGGAGTGGTTTGGGGTGGGGGAAATGGGATGGACTGGTTTGGGGTGGGGGAAATGGGGATGGACTGGTTTGGGGTGGGGGAAATGGGGATGGGGGTGCTGAGGGTGATTGGGGTGGGTTTGGGGTCCCAAACCTTCACAGGGTGGGAAATGGGAACTCTGAACTGGAAATGGGGACCCTGAAATGGGAATGGAGACCCTGGACTGGGAAATAGGAACACTGAACTGGGAAATGAGGACCCTGAACTGGGAAATGGGAACTGGGGGCGCTGCTGGGGTAAGGAAGGCAGGGAGGTGAGGCCGAGCAGAAATTTGGGGAATTTGGGGAATTTTGGGGCTGTGCTGGTTTGAGCACAGCCCTTACCCCGCCAGGAACCTGGAGGAGAAGCGGCTGCTCTGGAAACTTCTGGATGTCCCCGGTGCCCCGGGACAGGCAGGTGAGACCCGGGGGGGGCTCACGGGGGTGGGGTGTCCTCATCCCGACCCCCACCCCTAAAAACCGCTGTCCCCCCAGGCTGTGGGCGACTCTCGGCCAGCTGGGAGCCCCTGGGGGGTCCCAGTAAGCCCAGTCCGGTGGCCGCCCAGTTCAGCAGCGAGGGCAGCACCTTGTCGGGGGTGGAGGTGGAGCTGGCGGGGGCCGGGTACCGAATGTCGCTGGTCAAGAAGAGATTTGCGACAGGTATGGGGTGGGGGATGGGGAAAATGGGGGTGGGGGGGGTCCCTTCCCTACAATTTTGGAGGGGTGGGGTCATCACCCCATCCCCTGGTGCTGGGGGAACGGGGGGGGTCCCTGCCCTGGGGTGTTTGGGGTACTCAGGGTCCGTTTCCTGGGGTGTTTGGGGTTCTTTCCCCTGGGGTATTTAAGGTGCTTTTCCTGGGGTATTTGGGGTCCTTTCCCTTCTATTTGGGGTGCTCAAGGTCCTTTCCCTGCGGTTTTTAGGGTCTCTTCCCTGGGATATTTAGGATCCTTTCCCTGGGGTATTTAAGGTCTCCTCCCTGGGGTATTTGGGGTCCTTTTCCGGCTATTTGGGGTGCTCAGGGTCCTTTCATGTGGTTTTTACGATCCTTTCCGTGTGGTTTTTGGGGTCCCTTCCCTGGGGTATTTGGGGTCCTTTCCCTGGGGTATTTGGGGTCCCTTCCCTGGGGTTTTTGGGGTCCTTTCCCTGCTCCTCGGGGCGCTGACATCCCTTTCCAGCCGTTCCCATCCCTGCTCTCCACAATCCTGGGGGGTCCCCACCCCCCAAACTCCTTCCCCCCCCTGCCCCCCCCTTCCCCCCTTTACTGGGCGATTCCCAGTTCGGGCGCTGGCACCGAGCTGGGGGCGCTGGGCAGTGCCCGCCCCTCCTCCGTGCCCACCTTGGCTCCGCAGGGATTTACCTGGCGGGGTCCTGAGCCCCCCCCCTCCCACCGTGGTTGTGTGAATTTGGGAACACTGGATGGAGGCGGCTGGGGAGGGGGCGCCTCCTCCTCCTCCTCTTCCTCCTCCTGTCCCCGCCCTGTCGCTGTCCCCGCGCGTCTCCTGCTCCGCGCCCCCTCCCCCCCGTGCTGTGAAGGGAGCAGGAGCTGCTCTTTTATTAAACATTTTATTTTCTAATAAATTCCACCCCTGTCGGCTCCCGCCTCCCTCCTGCCGCGGCGCCCATCCCACATCCCAAATCCCATATCCCAAATCCCATATCCCACATCCCACACCCATATCCCACATCTCACAACCAAATCCCACATCCCACACCCCACAAATCCCATTCTGTCCATCCCATAAGTCCTATCCCATATCCTATCCCCTATTCCCATCCCATCCCATAAATTCCATCCCATAAATCCCAATCCCATCGATCCCATCCCATAAAATCCCATCCCCTATCCCATATCATCCCATCCCACATCCCATATTTCCATCCCACCCCATAAATCCCATCCCATATCCCATATTCCCATAAATCCCATCAATCCCATCCCATAGATCCCAATCCCATCAATCCCATCCCATAGATCCCAATCCCATAAATCCCATCCCATCCCATAAATCCCAATCCCATCAATCCCATCCCACCCCAGGAGTCTCCCGGAGCTCCTCCCGTGGGGAAACTGAGGCGGGGGGCGGGGGACACCCCCGGGGGGATCCCCACGGGATCCTGGGGCCACCGGGGTGTCCCTGGCTCCGGTGTGGGGGTGACACCAAGGGACTGGGGGGCTCTGGGAGGGTTTGGTGACACCTGTGACAGTGCCACCACCTCGGACAGGGACCCAAAATCCATAAATCCATCCCTGACCCCCTGGGTTCTGTGGCTGGGGGGTCCTGGGGGTGTCTCCAGGGGGGTTTGGTGGCTCTTGGTGACATCTGGGACGGTGCCACCACCTGGATGTGTCCCTGTCCCCCCGGGATGATCCCCATGGGGTCACCGAGGTGTCCCTTGTTCTGATGTGGGGGTGGCACCAAGGGACTGGGGGGGTCCTGGGGGTCTCTCCAGGGGGGATTTGTGGCTCTTGGTGACATCTGGGACAGTGCCACCACCTCGGACAGGGACCCAAAATCCATAAATCCATCCCTGACCCCCTGGGTTCTGTGGCTGGGGGGGGTCCGGGCTCCTCTGGGGACAATCGGGGACAAATCCCGCTCGGGAACGAGGCTGGTCCTGCTCTGGGAGCCCTCGGTGCTCAACCCCACCCCACCCAACCTCATCCCAGCAGGAAAATGTAACAAAATTTAATTAAATGAGGCGGAATTCTGCCATGGAAGGAGGTAAAAAAGGGGGAAAAAGTGAAGGGATGGAAAAATTCCCAAATTTTAATAAAACAAGACTGAATTCTGCCACGGGGAAAAGGGGGGAAAAAAGGGGGAAAAGCCAAAGGGATGGAAAATTTCCCAAATTTTAATAAAATTAGGCTGAACTGTGCCATGGGGAGAGGAAAAATGGGGGAAAGGCAAAGGGATTGAAAATGTAACAAATTTTAAGAAAATGAGGCTGAATTCTGCCATGAAGGGAGGGATAAAAAGGGGAAAACTGAAGGGATGGAAAATTTACTAAACTTTAATAAAATAAGACTCAATTTTGCCATGAAGGGAGGGAAAAAAAGGGGGAAAAGTTGAAGGGAAAGGAAAATGTCCCAAATTTTAATGAAATGAGACTCAATTTTGCCATGAAGGGAGGGGGGAAAGGGTGAAAAGCTGAAGGGAAGGAAAATATCCCAAATTTTTATAAAATAAGACTCAATTTTGCCATGAAGGGAGGGGAAAAAAGGAGGAAAAGCTGAAGGGAAGATCCGGGAAAAGCGGGGCCGTGCCACCCCACAAAGCACAGGGAAATCACCGTGGATTTTGGGGGAGGGGGGAGGATCCCGGTGGGATTTTTTTGGGGGGTGGGGAGGGGGCTACCCCCGAGTTTTGCTCCTGCCATCCCTCAGCTCCTCGATTTTGGGGGACAACTCCTCGAAAGTGGGTCTGGCAGCGGGGGAGAAATTCCAGCAGCTCATCATCAGCGCGTACACCTGGGGAGGGGACAAAGGGACACGATGAGGACATCGGGGAGGGGAGGACACCGCGGGGACAGCCCCGGGACAGCGGTGTCACCTCCGAGGGACAGCCAGAGGGGAGCGGGAGGCGCCGGTTGTCCTTGAGGAGCTCCAGCAGCTGGAGGATGATCTGAGCCGGCTTCCCTGTGCCCATCATCCGCAAAAATTCCTGCGGGACAATCGGGGATGGGGAAAATATCCTTGAGAAACGAGGGGGTGATCCCATAGGGAATGTCACCTCTTTGTCCTGGGAATTGTCCCCTCCTAGTCCCTGGAAATGTCCCATCTTTGTCCCGGGAATATTCCCTCTTTTTCCAGGAAATGTCCTCTCCTCGTCTCGGGAAATGTCACCTCCTTGCTCAGGGAAATGTCCCCACCATGTCCCGGGAATTGTCCCCTCCTTTTCCCGGGAAATATCCCATCTTTGTCCCGGGAAATATCCCATCTTTGTCCCGGGAAATGTCATCTCCTTGTCCCGGGAATGTCCCCTCCATGTCCTGAGAATTGTCCCCTCCTTGTCCCGGGAATTGTCCCCTCCTTGCCCAGGGAATGTCCCGGAAATGTCCCCTCTTTTTCCAGGAATTGTCCCCTCCATGTCCTGGAAATGTCCCCTCCTTTTCCTGGGAATTGTCCCTTCCTTGTCCAGGAAATGTCCCCTCCTTGCTCATGGAATGTCCCCCCCTTGTCCCGGGAAATGTCTCTCCTTCCTCCTCCCAGGAAATGTCCCCTCTTTTTCTAGGAATTGTCCCCTCCTTTTCCTGGGAATTGTCCCCTCTTGGTCCCGGGAATTGTCCCCTCCTTTTCCCGGGAAATATCCCATCTTTGTCCCTGGAAATGTCATCTCCTTGTCCCGGGAATGTCCCCTCCATGTCCTGAGAATTGTCCCCTCCTTTGCAAGGAAATGTCCCCTCCTTGTCCTGGGAATGTCCCCTCCTTTTCCCGGGAAATATCCCATCTTTGTCCTGGGAATTGTCCCCTCCATGTCCCCGGAAACGTCCCCTCTTTATCCAGGGAATGTCCCCTCCATGTCCCGGGAATTGTCCCCTCCTCGTCCCGGAATTGTCACCTCCGAGGGGCTCTTGCTCTTGGAGCTGAAGGTGAAGAGCTCGTAGAGCAGAACCCCGAAGCTCCAGGCGTCGGAGGCGCAGGAGAAAATGTTGTCAGCCAGGGATTCCGGAGCGTACCTGCCGGGAAAAAAGGGATTTTGAGATGGGAAAAGGGGATTCTGAGATGGGAAAAGGGAATTTTGAGATGGGAAAAGGGGATTCTGAGACGGGAAAAGGAGATTTTGAGATGGGAAAAGGAGATTCTGAGACGGGAAAAGGGGATTTTGAGATGGGAAAAGGGGATTTTAAGACAGGAAAAGGAGATTTAGAGATGGGAAAAGGGGATCCTGAGCTCTGGGAAAAGAGGATTTTGAGATGGCAAAGGAGGAATCTGAGTCCCGGGAAAAGGGGATTTTGAGTCCCAGGAAAAGGGAATTCTGAGAAAGGAAAGGGGATTTTGAGAAGGCAAACGGGGATTCTGAGCTCCAGGAAAAGGAGATTTTGAGATGGGAAAAGTGAATTCTGAGAAGGAAAAAGGAGATTTTGAGCCCCGGGAAAAGTGGATTCTCAGGCCCAGGAAAAGGGGATTTTGAGATGGGAACAAGGAAATCTGAGTCCCGGGAAAAGGAGATTCTCAGCCCCGGGAAAAGGAGATTTTTGAGAAGGGAAAAGCAGATCCCGAGCCCCGCATCCCGCTGGAATTCCAGCCCTCCCCGTGTCCCCCCCTCACCAGAAAACGGGGCTCTGGCCGGGTTCCCGCACCACGTAATAATCCTTGTCCTGCGGGAGCAGCTTGGCCAGCCCGAAGTCGCCGATCTTGACGTGGCTGTCGCTCTCCACCAGGATGTTCCTGCTCGCCAGGTCCCGGTGCACGCAGCGCTGCGCCCCCAGGTACTCCATGCCCTGCCGGGAGGGGCGAGCTCGAGGGGAGCGGGGAACCCGCAGAGACCCCAGGGATGGGGAACCCCCCCGGGGGAGGGTCCCTGGGTGACCCCGGTGAGGGTCTCCAGGTGAGGGTCCCTGGGTGATCCCTGGGGAGGGTCCCCAAGTGAGGGTCCCTGGGTGACCCCGGTGAGGGTCCCCAAGTGAGGGTCCCTGGGTGATCCCTGGGGAGGGTCCCTGGTGACCCCCGGGTGAGGGTTCCGGGGTGAGGGTCCCTGGGTGACCCCGGGTGAGGGGCTCCAGGTGAGGGTCTCCGGGTGAGGGTCCCCGGGGGAGGGTCCCTGGGTGACCCCGGTGAGGGTCCCCAAGTGAGGGTCCCTGGGTGATCCCTGGGGAGGGTCCCTGGTGAACCCCGGGTGAGGGTTCCGGGGTGAGGGTCCCTGGGTGACCCCGGGTGAGGGTCCCGGGGTGAGGGGCTCCAGGTGAGGGTCTCCGGGTGAGGGTCCCCGGGGGAGGGTCCCTGGGTGACCCCGGTGAGGGTCCCCAAGTGAGGGTCCCTGGGTGATCCCTGGGGAGGGTCCCTGGTGACCCCCGGGTGAGGGTTCCGGGGTGAGGGTCCCTGGGTGACCCCGGGTGAGGGTCCCGGGGTGAGGGGCTCCAGGTGAGGGTCTCCGGGTGAGGGTCCCCGGGGGAGGGTCCCTGGGTGACCCCGGTGAGGGTCCCCAAGTGAGGGTCCCTGGGTGATCCCGGGTGAGGGTCCCGGGGTGAGGGGCTCCAGGTGAGGGTCTCCGGGTGAGGGTCCCCGGGTGAGGGTCCCTGGGGTGAGGGTCCCTGGGTGACCCCGGGTGAGGGTCCATAGATGAGGGTCCCTGGGGGCTCATCCCGGCTGGGTCCCATCCCGAGGGGGGAGTGAGGGATTGCTCCGGTCTGGAGGCGCTGCTGGGCAGGGACAGGAGCCAG